CCTCTGGTCCATTTCACCTCCGCAGCACCTCTGGTCCATTTCACCTCTGCTGCATCTCTGGTCCATTTCACCTCTGTAGCATCTCTGGTCCATTTCACCTCTGCAGCATCTCTGGCATCTCTGGGCCAAGTTCACCTCTGCAGAATCTGGTCCATTTCATCTCCACAGCACCTCTGGCCCATTTCACCTCCTCAGCATCTCTGGCCCATTTCACCTCTGCAGCCTCTCTCCAATATGCCCCCCTTCTCTCCTCTGGTATGGCACCCACCCTGCTGCAGACCCTCATTACCTCACACCTGGCCAGTTGCCATAGCCTGCTAAATGACCACGGGCCCTAGGCCTCCCTCCATTCCTGCCAAAGGGAGCTTCCTAAAGTGCAGCCTTGGTCACCTCCCTCCCCACTCAACAAATTCCAGTGACTCCTCATGGCCTCCATGATCAAATCTGAACTCCTTTTGTTCATTGAAGCCCTTCCCACTCTAGCCCTGGGGCAAGGGATCTACTTGTATCTTCCCCTAGTCCCTGAAGAACCCCCTTCCTCAATCCTGTCCCGGGGTATCTCTCAACCCCTTTAGCGTTTGGGGATCCCCCATATAATTCTGAACAACAAGCTTGTGTTGGTTCAGTCAGTGAACCTGGTGTCTCCCTGCCACTGATGGGGAGTTCCTCAAGGGCAGGACCCAGCAAAGTGGCTTGCAACCAACAGATGCCTAATACAGACTTGTTCCATTGGGGGAAGGGGTTTCTAGAATGATTCCTATGGCTGAGAATCTCCAAGCACCTTCTAACCCTGGATTCTCATTTGGCCAATTAATAAGCACTAACTGTATGTGGGCTGGGAGCAGACACAGATCTAAACACCTTCTGACTCTAGTTTCCTCCACCCCATTAGTCGGCCAGCACTTAGTAGGCGCCTGCTGTGTGCAGAAGGAGGGGTAGGAATTTTTAAGCACCTTCCAGCTCTGGATCCTGTCAAGCAGGTGTCTACAGCGCATAGGCACTAGGAGAGATCTCTAAGCACTTTTAGGCTCTGGATTCCCCGCCCCCCACCCCCAGTTAATCAACCAGCACTTAGTAAGCTCCTGCTGTGTGCAGGAAATGCGAGGGGAGGTGGGGGGGGATTGGGGAGAGGAGAATTTCTAAGCTTCTTCCCCTTCTGGGCCCCGCCCACAGCAGTGGTTACGGCCCCGCCCAACAGGCCACGCCGGGGAGACACAGAACCCTTTTTCACCTCCCGCCCAGGCCGTTACCATGGAGACCAGGCGCAACACCTCCCCCTCCAGTAGTTGCCATGGAGACCCCCCCCCCCCCCCCGCCCTCCGCCTCCCGCTCCAGGGCCTGACTCACCCGGCAGAGCAGGACAAAAGCGTTTGTGGCTAGGCCTCGTGATGGACTGCGCCTGCGCCTCGAGATGCCCAGGGCCCACCAGACTACGAATCCCAGAAACGTCCGGGACTGGGCCTTTGTGCTTCCGGGCCAAAGGTTCACACTGGTGCTACGCACTCGATCTGGTTCTGCTTCTCTGGGAAGTGCGCCTGCGCAAGGGCCCACACTTCTCCTCGACCCAAATTGAACCTGGGGCGTCCGCAGAGGTGTGTCTCAGCGACGGGGCCCGGAGTGGGGAGAGCGGACACCCCGCGTCCGAACCTCACATTGTCGCTATCTAAAGACGGGAGCTTCTGGCCTGCCTTTCATCCTCTCGCGGGGCTCGCTGGGAAATGGAGTCCACGAATTAAACGTATTGACGGAAAGCCAGTCTGCCAGACGCGCTTCGCATTGCGCAGGCGCATTCCCCCACTTTCCCCCAGCCCAGGCCCCCAGCAGTCCCCTCTTCTGCTCCCCTGAGGAGTCTGGACTTAGAGTGCGCGAGGAGTTTCCATGGCAACGGCTGGGGAAAACATGGCAACTATGGGAGAGGAGGATCTGGATCCCTATGGCACCAGCCTGGGGAAGTCACACTCTGAGTCTCCATGACAACGGGAGGGGAGGAAGAAGAGAGGGACTCAGGGGCGGTTTGGGGGTCCCAAGTAGGAAGGTGCTTAGAGATCTGGTAGTGCTAGATCCCACCGAAGCCACCGACTCTGATGAAGGGCTTCCTGCACACACGAACTCTTGGGATGCCTCTCCACACAGCCGGATGCCCTCGGACGCATCTGTCCATGTCTGCACCTCTGGACACACCTACGTGTCCACAAACACATCTGGCAACCATCCCCAAGCCCACGTGCCCCCATCTACATGCCTCTGGGAGCTCCTGCATGCCCATGGCCACACCTGGGCGCCTGGACCCACCTGTCCACACGTACCTGTCTCTAGACACACACGTACATCCTCCCCCAACACCTCTACGTGCTCCTGTGTACCCCATGCTTGGACCCCAGGAGTGTCCAGGCAGAACGGCCTCTGAGCCGAGACTGTACGTTGGCAAAGCACTGAGTCACTCTACGCTGCCTCAGTTTCCTCCTTTGTGCGCTGACTGGGTTGGGAAGGGAAACTTCCTTTAGTGACTTAGCATCCCTTCTAGCTCTGGATCTATGACAGTATGATCAAAACAAACCGGTAAAGGAGACAGGGAGGCAGGGCATTGACTCCTGGAGGAATCAGGGAAGGCGTCGTGGAGGAGGTGGTACCTGAGGTGGGCCTCATGGGGTGCACATTCTGGGTCTGGGGAGATACAGCAGGATTAAAGATATGAAGTCTAAAGAGGTCAGGGCAAACACGGAATAGGCCAGCTGTCTTGAGAAAGAGAACGATGCCATTGGTAACTGGATGTCAGCAACACGGCATCTGTCCTGACTTGTTCCCAAAGGGTATCGCTGTCATGGTGCTGGCTACACTTTTTTGGCTTTGGCTTTCCTATGCCTCCGTGGCTTACTTACAGCCTCCCCTTCGAGCCCAGGCACAAGAGCAAGGATCCTTAGTCTACAACTGATCGACACCTCCCGTCTTCACCCTTTAGACCTCAGCTCGGCGGTCTGCCACTGACCGGGCCAGCGGTGGGAGAGCAGGGTCCTCCTGGCTAACTATGCCTGGGAGGATCTCAGGCGAGATACCCAGCAATCCCTCCCTTTGGGTCTCCAGGATTCCATGGAACCCATGTTTTTGAAGGTCTGTCCGTAAGGCCTAGGCTCTGTGAGGCCTTTGGCTGGCACCAAGGAGTGGACAGAAGTGGTCTCTAAGCTCCTTAAAGCAGCCACTCGCTGCACATTTTGGCAACGGCGGCTTCCTGCTATTGAGTTCCAGTGGCTACTGAGTGGAGAAGGCAGGGTCTTAGCCTTGCTCCCTTATGAGTTGCCTGACGTAAGATTGTCCCTCTCACAAGCCAAGTAGGGCATAACACTTGCATTGTGTAATGGAAATTGTGGACCCCAAATCCCCTGCCTTCACGTGAGTGCCCTTCAAAGACAGGCTGTGATGTCGCCAGAACTTTAGTACCAGCCACCCTGTTCGGTCTGCTTTGTTACCCAATGGACCCTCACCCATGAGGACCTAGGAACGATGCAATGATGAGGAACGATGTTTCGGCTGCTCGCTGATGACTCTGCTCATTAGGAGAGATAGCCTCCACTGGACCTCAGCAGCTGTTAATCCAGTAATGAGGGGTGGAGACTCCAAGAGGGATGGGAACAAGGCAAAATCTCCCAGGGCTTTGAGCTGAGAGCTGCATGACCGGCAGAGAAAGCTTGGGGAGATGGGGCAGACAAGATTTTTCTGCTGATTCCTGGGCAGAGACCATGGGTTTTACTGACTGGTCTTGGGGCTTGGAGTGAAAAATGATGGAAAACCAAGGCTCTCTCCTGTGGGTTCAGAACCAATGGAAGAAATCTACTGATTGCTGCCACCACATTCATTTGTTTGTAGAGGATGGTAGGTCCCATTGGAGACATTACTCACCGATGAACTAGATAACCAGGTTGAAGGTCTCATGAAAATAGCAAAGACTGAGGACTGAGTCCATTGTCAATTTGGACACGGGGACCACAATGCTCCGGAGCACTAGTCACGGACCTCATAATCCCCTGAATTAGGGTGCTGCTGCTGCTTCTGCTCCATGATGCTCTCCTCCCCAACCAGAGCAACCTCAGCCTTTGGAGGCTCAGAACAGCGTGACCCACACGGTTCTCGATTTGCCTCCTTCGGAGGGTAGGGGTGTTCAGGGAAAACTAGCACCTCTGGTGGGAGGGCTGCCCAGCCTTTTTCAGGGCAGCTTTCTACCTCTGCTGTCCACCTGATTCACCCAGCTTTCATCAGAGGCTCTAAGAAGCTGTAGCTTGTGCAGCAGCCCCACCCTGGTAAACTGTTTTGGCAGGCAGGCTAAACCAGGCTGAGGGTAACTGACAGGCCTCAAACCCATTGCTGAGTTAGTGGGGTGATCACCCCAAGCAGTGAAAACGTCCCCCCATGAAGGCGGCTGAAGCAGGAGCTGTTGAGCCTTCGAGCTAGGTTAGACATCACAGGCCCCGAGGCCATCCACTGCATCTCGGGCCATCACCCGTCATCTTGACTGTCCTGCCACTGAACCTTCCACAGCCAGGCACTAAGATGGTGTGCAGAGACTGCAGAGTTCCCTGGGGCTCAGAGGGCAGAAATGGGAGCCTGAAAGCAGGAACTCAAGATGAAGCACATTTTGAAGCCATTTAAGAAACCGGGTCCCGACTCCAAACACACTGGACTTTCCACACTTCCACAGCAGCTTCTAAGTTTTATTATCAACCCCTCTCACCCCCCCCTTTATGGGGGAAACTGAGGCCTGGGGAGGTCATGAGTTAAGATAGCAGACACATCTGTTCTAGAGGTAATGGGGAGCTCCTGAAGACTTAAGCACAGGAGCAGCAGTGTGAGACCTGTCTTAGGAAAATGACTTTGTCAGCTGTGAGACTGTGAATGGGGTGGGGGTGGGGGTGGGGAACCATAGCAGACAGACCAAAGGAGGTCTGTACTTTTCATTTCCCACCTCGCCCCCCAACCACAGTCTACATACACAGGAGACAAACACCACCAAAGGTAGCGGGGAATCACTTCCCCATCAAAGCAGTGGCCTGTGGATAACTCCTACAAAAGGGGAGCATCTCTCAAGATGGCCCTGACCACTCTCTCTGACCCCCTGCTCCCCTCTCTCACCCTACCCCCACCCACTACTTTTCTCCCCAGTGATGTGAGGTTAGAGAAAAATGGACGGAGAATAAAGAGCAAGGTGGGAAGGAGAAAAAGAAATAAAAGAGAGAAATGAGAATGCTGTTACGTGGGGAATTCTCATTCCTGGATCTCTGGCACCCAAGCCCATAAAGCCTGGGTGAAAGACCCCCGTGGCTACTTCACCTGCTCATGGAACAACTCAGTAGCAATGCCTGTCCCATTACTCCCATCCGGTCTAAAACTCTTCTCTGCTCTCCCATTAACTCTGGAGAAGAAATCTCGTTATCAGTACGGTCTAAGCACTTTTCTGGTTGGCCTGGGGAATGAAGAGGTTCATTCCCAATGGAGTATGGCAGCATGGCCCCTTCCCAGAGGAGAAACCCAGATTTGTGGACAACTCCTCATATTTCCTGTCAAACCACCATACCGACCGGATAGACTGAGGGACCCCTCTTTCCATCAGCCCCCGGGCAAATTCAGCAGGCAACCACAGGCTTCAAGTATCTAAGTAACCTTCACAGGTAGGTGTTGGTTACAGGATCATAGAAAATCTCTCCAGTGTGAATTCTCTGGTGTTGAATAAGGTGGGTACTCTGGTTGAAGGTCTTCCCACAGTCACTGCATATGTAGGGTTTCTCTCCAGTGTGAATTCTTTGATGTCGAGTAAGGTTTGGGCTCTTGTTGAAGGCTTTCCCACACTGGCTACATTCATAGGGCTTCTCTCCAGTGTGAATCCTTTGGTGCTGAGTAAGGAGTTTACTACAGTTGAAGGCCTTCCCACATTCATTACATTCATAGGGCTTCTCTCCAGTGTGAATTCTCCGATGTTCAGTAAGGGATGAGCTCACTCGGAAGGCCTTGCCACATTCATCACATTCATAGGGTTTCTTTCCAGTGTGAATTCTCTGGTGTTGAGTAAGGAGTGTGCTCCGGTTAAAGGCCTTCCCACATTCATTACATGCAAAGGGCTTCTCTCCAGTGTGAATCCTCTGGTGCTGTGTAAGGTGGGTACTCCGATTAAAAGCTTTCCCACATTCATTGCACTGATAGGGTTTTTCCCCAGTATGAGTCCTCCAATGCTCAGTAAGGGATGAGCTCACCCTGAAGGCTTTCCCACATTCATTGCATTCAAAGGGTTTTTCTTCATTATGGATTCTCCGATGCTGCCTGAGGTGTGAAGTCTGGTTGAAGGCTTTGCCACAATCACTACATTCATAGGGCTTGTCTCCAGTGTGAACTCTCAGGTGTTTGGAAAGAAGTGCGCTTTGGCTAAAGGCTTTCCCACATTCTTTACATTTGTAGGGTTTCCCTCTGGGATGGCTTCTGGGAGGGTCCACTCCAAGTGAGTCATGCAGAAGGTCTTCCCTACATTCATTGTACTTGTCAGGTTTCTTCTCCGCACAGATGATCTGATGTTCGATCAAGTGAGAAAGCTGCTTGAAGCTTTTCCCACTCACATCGCATTTATGGGCCCTCTCTCCCGCCAAGGACAGATTCTGGTGTAGAATCAGCAGGGGCCTCAGACTGATGCTTTTCTCACATTCATCCCATTCAGAGCCTGCATCCCCAGATTGGATTGGCTTACTGGTGACAATCCTCTGCCTCCACTGTCTCTCCTGCTGCTCTTCTAACTGTCCACCACATGTCCAGGTTTTCCCCAAACTGGGGTTCCAAGGACCATCCTGGGCCAATCTTGTCATCATCATACCATGCGTTATTCCTCCTTCAGAAATATCCCAACCTGGGGTTGACTCTGTGGTTTCAGGTCTAGTCTTCCAGTCTGAAATCAATTGAAAACAAAATTAATATTACCAGATCTGACCATGTCACCCTCCCTGCTAGCACCAGGGTCAAATATAACCTCTCCTATCCAGCATGGAAGGGTCTTCTGACTTCTCCGGTCTCTGTCTCTGTCTACCTTGCTCTTCCCAATCCATGGTCCGGCCATATCAGTCTACAGGTCATCTTTTCTCCAGCTCTGCATCTTCCTGACGCATGGAATGCTCTCCCTCGTCTCTTCAACCACTTAGAATCCCTGGCTTCATTCGGGACTCAGCCCATGGAGCCCCTGCAGAGCCCAGAAGGACTCTCGGTCCTCCCACCCAACGTTATCATGCCTCGTATGGAGAAACATTCCTGTTTTCTGACAGAATGTAAGCATACTGAAAACAGATCTGGATTCATTTCTGCCTTAGTATGCCAAGTGCCTAGCACATAACAGGCCGTTAATAAAAGGAAATGATGGCCCACTGGACGACTGACCCTGGGCTGGCATCTATGGCAATGAGGATCAGAGGTAGGAGATGGTCGCCACATCTCTAAGGAATGACCATCTGTGTACAGATGCGATCACCCTAGAACCCAGGCTCCCTGTGGGCGAGGACTGTCTGTCTGTTTAATCAATGCTGGCTGAATAGGACTCGGAAAACTAGCCAATAGGATCTTGGGAAGTATGAAAAAGGTGGATAGAAAAGGGGTGATGCATCTTTCCAGCCTCAGAGAGTGAAGACAAGTGAGGAAGGATCAGGATGAGGTAAAAGAGCCTATGGCTGGAAGGAGCCTCTGAATCAACCTTGGATACAAGCCTCTCAACTCACAGCTGACACAGCTGAGGCTCAGAGATGGGAATCACCCAAGGTCACACAGAAGGTAGAGAAGGGATTCAAACGGAGGCCCTGTGGCCCCAGATCCACCAGAAGGGGGAGGAGGTGCCAAGAAGGGATGGAGGAGAAGGGGGATCCAGGAGATTCTTGTAGGGACAGCACGCCCCCCACCCAGATGGTTGTGGCAGGCAGCTAACAAGGCTCCCACCCTGCAGCCTCTTTCCCCTTTCTGGGCTCTTTGGGTAAGAAATCCCCCCATCAGCACAGAGCCCAGATCGGACTCCATGATCCCACTACCTTGTCGAAGCGTGAATCCAGGACATCGGGCTCTCTGATGGGCCTTGGCCTGCTCAGATTCCCTCCCAGGTGTCTCCCAGCTTCAGCACTTTGAGATTGTTATAGGGAAAGAGGGAATGATGGGAGTCCCAGAGGGAAGTGATGAGAGGAAAGCTGCACATCATATGACATGCCTTGATGTGTGTGCCGAAAGGGAGAAGACAGGGACAGCTAGGTGACACAGTGGATAGAGCACCGGCCCTGAAGTCAGCAGTACCTGAGTTCAAATCCGGCCTCAGACCAAACACTTGACACTTACTAGCTGTGTGACCCTGGGCAAGTCACTTAACCCCAATTGCCTAAAACAAAAAAAAAAAAAGGGAGAAGACAGAAGAAGCCCCTGGGATGCAAAGGCTACCGGCCGTCCAGGAAAGGGGAAAAAGGGAAGCCGCCCTGGGGGAGGGGGACGCCCTGAGTAGTTCAGATTGAAAAGGACTCCAAGGACAGCTGGACAGGCACCAGGAGAGCCACAGAACACCCGGGACTACCAGGGTCTGGGCTACCCTCTGAAGCCCCTCTGCCCAGGGAAAGGAGACGGTCACAGCCAGGTCAACACCAGAGCAGGAGGCAGAACACAGACAGAAAGCCGAGCGCCTCCTCATGGCCTCTTGTGCCTGCTGTGTGAGTGTGCGCCTGCCTCATGTGGAAAGGGCAGGAAGAGGCAGAACACACGGCCTCCGAGCTCTTCGCCCAGAAAATGAAGAGGACCGCTGGGGAGCTGATGCCCAAGCACAGGGGGAGCCCCAGGGGGCCTGACGCCAGCCAGAAAACGGAAGCCACTCGTTCCAGGCCGTGAAGGTTTCAAGGAAAGGCAGGGTCCCTGCAGAGGAGCTGGGCGCTCCACCCCTGCCTGGGCAAAGGCGGGAGGGCCAGCCAATCCCCCTCCCCTTCCCCGGGCCCCAGGCTTCCCATCTGTACGATGAGAAGTGGACCTGTGGGCCTCTGAGGCCAGATGAACATCATGTACTGAAGGGGCGCTGGTTCTCAGAGACCTGGCCTTGAACACGGGCTTTCTCACCCGGGGGCAGCCTAGGAGAAGTGGCTGGGCCAGGGGCGGGCCACAGAGGGGCCAGGGGAGTGAGAGCCGGGGCTGCCCCGAGACCCCCACCCACCCACCCACGCACCTGGATGGGGGCCACTCGGGACCTCTCCCTCCGCCATCCACGGCTCTTCTTGCTCTAGGTGGGAGATGGCAGCCGGTTTGGGAATGGAAAGCCCTATTCATAGGGAGAGAGAGAAGCTGCAACGTGTGCCAGAGACTGAGAGCCGCCCCAAGCTCAGGCCCAGCCCCTCCATGGCACTGCCCAGGACCAGGACAGCCGTGGGGACAGACCCCTCTTACAGGCCTCATCCAAGCTCCCCATTCTATGGATGAAGAAACAGACCCAGAGAAGAGAATGAATCCAATGAAGGCTGTCAGGAGCCCACAGGGGCTTCACGGACCTCTCCTAGGGCTCTGAGCTTTCAGCTCCCAGAGACCCCAACCCTGGCTCCCTCCTTCTCTCTACCCCCTCCCTCCCGGCAGATACTGAATTAAGGGAGGGGGGATGCAGGGGAAGCTGCCTTACCCAGGGAGATCAGGTTCCGGTAGGTCTCCAGCATCACGTCCCGGTACAGCTGCCTCTGAGAGGGGCCCAGCCGCCCCCACTCCTCAGGGGTGAAGTCCACGGCCACGTCCCTGAAGGTCACGGGTTCCTGAAACACAGAGCACATGCCTGCTGGCCCAGGAACAGAAGGACAGAGGCCCCCAGGGGATCTGGACAGGGCCTGGCTGGGCTGGGGACCCAGGGCTTTTACCAAGGGTCTCCTGGGGAGGGGAGTGGGGTCCAGATGCAGGACACACCAGAGTCTCTGCCTCGAGGGGCTGATGGTCATCGTGGGGAAGGGGAGATTCAGCTGTGGCAAAGACCAGACCAGGCCGGACACCCAGACCATGGAGGCCACACGGTGCCACGGGCCGGGCACTGGACATTCAGTCACAAGACCCTGTTATTCACCTGGGCTCTGCCAGCTACTACTTGTGTGACCTGGGGTCAATCCCTGGCCCTCTCTGTGCCTCAGTTTCCTCCAAGGCTCCTGTGCTCCTGGCTTCTGTTCTGAGTTGGACTGGCAGGACCCAGGTTGCCTCCCCTCCTGGCTGTGTGGGCCCGGGCCGCTCACCTGCCCTTGTGGGGCTCCCCTCCCCTCCCACTGGGCACTGGGGGGATGAACTGCCATGCTGCCTTCCTCCCCTGACCCTGGGTACTGGGAGGAACAGTCATTTAAGTGACCTGACTGCAGAGAGGAAGAAAAGGGAAAAGAGAAGATGAAGTCATCAACTGCAGACAGACGGCCTTCCCAAGGAGTTTAGCACAAAAGGCAGAAGAGACACAGGAAGACAGTTAGTGGAGACAGGAGGGTCAACAGAGGGTTTCTGCAGGATGGGGGAGACGCGGGCATGTCTGCAGGCCAGGAGAGAGGGAGAGATCAGAGAGAAGGGCGGGGCACGGGGGTGACAGAGGGGGCGATCTGCTGGAGGAGACGGGATGGAAGGGGGCCACCGAGCAGGTGGAGGGGTCGGCCCCGCCTCATCATGGGAGGAGAGGGGCAGAAGGCACTGGGGGATGGGAGCAGAGGGAGCTCCTGGTGAATGGTTCGACTTAGGAGGCAGGGTCTGGGCTGGGGGGGGGGGAGGAAAAGCTACAGGAGGTTTGAGGAGGCTTGAGAAGGTTTGGGAGAGGGAGCTGATGAGGGAGGGAGCAGGAGGGCCCAGTGGAGGGGGGAGTCAGAGCCTGGTTTTCTCCACCTTCATTCACCATCGTGTGTATGTGTGAAGGAGATGAATGGTAGGAGTGAGTCAAGGCTGAGGCTTGGGAGGCATGGGGGGATACAATAAAAGGTAGAGAGATTCACAAGAGGAGGACAGTGAAACTGAGCTGGTTTCCCGAGGGGTCCAGATGGGGAGAAGAGAGGGGGTGGCTGGTACAGGGGAGAAGGCTGAGGGGTCAGGGAGGGCAGGGTTATGTAAGGGGAGCCAGAGGGAGAGGGGGAAAGTCAGTAGATCGTGGTCGGATAAGGGGATTCCAGAATTCTAGACCACACAGGTGAGTAACCACGGAGGTGCCACATTTGTGGGGGATGCAAAGGTCCAGCGTGTGGCCATCTTTGTGTATGCCCAAGGGGGGTGGAGGCGAGCAGGGTGAGGAATTGAGAGGTTTGGGTGTCTGAGGGAGAGTCAGTGTCTATGTGGAAGTCCCCGGGTAGGACAGCAGGAGTTGGGGGGTAGAAGTCTGTGAGCTGGTACCGAGCTCCTGGAGGGAGGAAAGGGTGCGTCCTGTGGGACCCTGGCCCCTGACCGGGTGGTAGGTGTGACCAGCGCAGACCTCGGAGGAGGCGAGGTCGCTGAGTGGTGAGGAAGGGGGAGAAGCCAGAAGTGACTATGTGGAGCAGGGAGGGTTCCAGCTCCCTCGCCAAGGGAAGGGGCAGCCAGGGAGGCTGGGCAGCCACATCTCAGGGAGGGAGGAGAGGTGGGAAGGCGAGGTTTAAGGGTCAGGAGCCTTGGCAGCACAGCACCAAGGCTAGTCCATGAGCAGGGCAGGCTCCTCCCTTGTGCCTGATCCTACAGAAGATGTGTAAATGACCACCTCGGAGCCTTTGCCATGTGGTTCTCCCTGCCAGGAGTGCCACCCTCAGACCCCTGAAAAGCTCCAAACCCTGCCCATCCATCACACGCCTCCTCCTCCGGGGAGCCTTCCCTGGCCTGAACACATGGACAGCCACAGGTCCTCACATCATAGTTTCTGGTCTCTCCAAGAGAACCACAGGCCCTTCCCTCCTCCAATGGCGAGCAGTGAGGGAGGGGGCAGCAGGGGGCTGTGGGGCCTGTCCCTCAAGACGTCCACCCTCTGGAGGGGCTCGGTGTCCTGGGGAGCAGCCGGGGAAGCAGGGACCGCTGTGGGCATGAGGAGGGGCCCTGATACCTGTCCACGTTCAGGAAGGAAACCCCAGCTCACCTTGGAAGTGTCCGCCGGGGGCCCAGTGGGGGCCATGCCTTCATCCACCTCGTCCCCTAGGGTTTGGGTGCGGGCTGCGCCCTCGGAGGGCAGACCTGGGGAGGACAAAGGGGTGGTGAGGGAGAGCAGCCCCAGACCCCTCTGGGAGGAGGGAGCAGGGAGGGCGACAGATGTGGACAAGACATCCCAGGACGGGCAGAGAGAGGGCAGCCAGCAGGCCAACAAAGTGGCCATTTTACAGGTGGGGAAACTGAGGCTCAGGGGGAGCAAATGACAGCCCAGGTCACAGAGCCGGTGGGGTCGTAGGCGCCATGGCTGACTCCAAGACTTGGCCCTTTCTATGACTTCACGGGGCCCCCCAGATGGGGGTGGGGGTCAGGGCACCAGAACCAGGGGAGCCCCCCATTCTCCAGAGCCCGTGCTCCTCCTCTGCCCCTAGGCTGGCTTCTCCCCAGCCCCCTCCCTTCCCATCCTGACAGATTCTGTGGGATCAAAGGACCTCCTCTTACAGCAGGGGAAACTGAGGCTCAGGCAAGGGAAATGACGTGTCCAAGGTGGCAGGGCTGGGACTCAAACCCAGGGCCCCTGACTCCAAATCCCCTTCTCACCTCCCTCCTCAAGCATCCGGGCCACCAGGGCTAAGCCGTCCTCAGTGGGGATTCCCTGGGGCCCGGCAGATCTCCCCTGCAGTCCCAGGGCAGGCCTCGGGGACCGTCCCTTCCAGGGTGGCTGCTGTGGGCAGGAGGGGGATGTCAGCAGGAGGAAGCAGCCCAGCGGCCCCAAAGAGCCCCACCCCCACAGCAGCCCAGGGAGCTCACCCAGCCCCCAGGCCCCCAGAAAATGGGGCCAGAAAAAAATCTATCCAGGATCCCCACTGGGCACAGGAAAGGGGGGAGGGGCTACTGCCTCACCCAGTGTCCTTAGGGGGCCCTGCTGGGGTCCCAGAGTCACCGGGTTGGGCTCACTTCCTGGTGTGTGACCCTGGCCAGGCCTCTGGGCTTCCCTGGGCCTCAGTTTCCCCACCTGTCCATGGGGGGGAGGGGCAGTGGGTGGGGTCACTTCTGGTATGTGACCCTGGCCAGGCCTCTGGGCTTCCCTGGGCCTCAGTTTCCCCACCTGTCCATAGGAGGCCCAGCTCTGAGGAGGGGAGGGGCAGCGGGTGGGGTCACTTCTGGTATGTGACCCTGGCCAGGCCTCTGGGCTTCCCTGGGCCTCAGTTTCCCCACCTGTCCATGGGGGGGAGGGGCAGTGGGTGGGTTCGCTTCCTGGTATGTGACCCTGGCCAGGCCTCTGGGCTTCCCTGGGCCTCAGTTTCCCCACCTGTCCATAGGAGGCCCAGCTCTGAGGAGGGGAGGGGCAGCGGGTGGGGTCGCTTCCTGGTATGTGACCCTGGCCAGGCCTCAGGGCTTCCCTGGGCCTCAGTTTCCCCACCTGTCCGTGGGAGAGAACCCGGGGAGGGGGGGGCCAAGTCTCCAGGGGAAATCTGACGACTCGGCCGTCATCTGACCCCGCCCCTTCCCTGGCCCGAGGACCCAGCAACAGATGATGTCACAGGCCCCGCCTCTTCTTCCTCCCGTCGACCTTTCCCTCCCCCACCCTACCCTTCCCCCCGGGACCCCGCCCCTTCCCGTGTCGGGGCGCATAACGACTCGCCGGGAGGAGTCGGGGGACTCGGACGCTGGGGGTCCGCACCTACAGACCTCGATGACGCTCCCCCGGGGCGCGGGGAAGAAGCGGCGGAAACACCACCGCCGAGCGGGCGGACTCGGCCTGCAATGGTGGATGCGGCAGCGCGCATGTCCAACCTTGGGGCTCTCAGTGCGCCTGCGCGCCTTCCATCGCCGGACTACACATCCCAGAATGCCTCGGAAAGCGTCTTCAGGCACCCACCCCCTCCGCTTCCTTCCAGAACAGACAATAGAGAATTCTGAGAGAGGGCTACCTTCAGGCTCCATCGTGCGTGTCCATAGGGATGTCTCCAGCCAGTCCTCAGCCAATCAGTGGCCATCGTTCCCGCCCCGCCCCCCCTTCACTCTCCCGGCTGAGGGAGACGGCAACCGTTTGAGGGATTCCGACCCCGCCTTCCCCAGACCGTGGTCCAGGATTGGCGGAACTGGGCACGTGCTTACGAGTCCTGCGTCCAATCCCATGGGGTTACACAGGTGGAGGGAGTGGCCTGGGAGGAGCGCTTAGAGATCCTGAACCAGGAGGAAATGCTTGGAGATTCTCTGGTGACACAACTTAGTCAATCGATCGCCAAGCGTTTATTTAGCGTCTACTGTGAACTGAGATATCACCTCCAGAAAATGGGAACACAGCCCTCCCGGGGCACACAGGCGCTTTCAGGGGTGGAGGAAGGGTCCTTGGAGAAGGGGAGGGGCGTGGAGGTTAAAGCTCCCCCCACCGCCCCGCCCTCTGGCCCTCTTGTTTCCCACCTCTGAGCCTTTGCACAGGCTGTGCTCCCGAATTCCTGGAGCTCCTGCCTGTCTACACAGGTCCTGCTGCATACCTTAGCTTCCTCATGCTTTTTAAATTGCCTAGTTTTTAACCATTTTCCATCCCCCTTAATGCTAGAGCCAGTCTGAGATGTCTGAGGGTCAGCAGAGAGGGTATCGTCCACTGGACCCGTGGATGGCCGGTCGAGCAGAGCAGGCTGGAGTCAGGTGGCTTTCAAGCGCAGTCCTGCTTCCCAGCAAGGGGCTCACTGGCCTATGGCAGGGGCCGGGTTTTTAGGCTGAAAAGCCCAGGTGCTCTCGGGTCTGTGTGACAGCCTCTAAGTCCTCGGGGTCACGCAGCCTTGAGGCTGTTCATTGGGGGACAGAACCAGGGGCGGTGTGGCCGAGAGCAGCGCTTGGCACCTGACCCAGTTCACTTGGTGGTGACATGGTGGCGCTGTTAGCATGTCAGGGAGTCTGGCTGATCACGTGACCGCAACCTCAGCTTCCGACTCGGGGTCCCCTGGAAAGCAGGGGAGCTCCAGCCAATCCAAACAGGACCCTCGCTACACATGTCCCACCCACGGACAGAGGTGTTGGCAGCTCTCAATGCCCTCCCTCACTTAAATCCGACTCACTGGCATGTCATAGCATCACCTTTCTGATGCCTGGTCAAGCAGCAGCAGCAGCAGCAGATCTCAATAACTCCACAGTACACTAGAAAATCATTCACATAGAGAAGATAATTGAATCCCATGGGAGCTGACGAGATCACCAAATGAAATAAAATAGAAGAGAAAGGGGCCCAGGACAGAACCCAGTGGGACACCCACAGTCAGTGGGCAGGACCCGGATGAAGGTAGGAGAAAAAGCAGGAGAGAAGGGTGGCCCAAAAAGCTAAAAGACAAGAAAAGAACAAGTGTAAGAGAAAACTGAGGCAGACTTGCTCTCTAGGGAATTTAGATCTCTCTTTCCCCTTGAGGACATAAAGGTCAGTTTTGCAAGATCCAAACCCCCCTGTTCCCTAAAGGGAAGAAAACCAGAGGAAGATGATGCCTGTGAAATTAAAGAAGGTCTTTATTAAGCAGGGAAATAAGACATGCACATGGAAGCAGGCGGCCAATGTTCAATAGCCCAACTAAGCAGGGAATTGGGGGAAAAGGCTGGAATTAGGCTGGTCCCAAGAAGCAATGGGGCAGAGAGGGGAGGACGAGATCCAGGAAATGGGGGAGTGAGGAATTCCAGGTGTCAGAGCCATCGCCTTTTGATACTCAAAACAGAAGACATTTTGGGGAGATAAGCAATCCTGGACAGTTCAAGGCTCGAGTGTAAACAATAAAATAAGAGGATGGCTCCAAAAAACATAAAAATGGGATGTTTCTAAGAGTTCCACAAATAGCAATTAGGGGAATCTCTGAAGATAAGGACGTCGTTTAAAAGTCTATAAATCAGCAAATGGCCCAGGGTCTGCTCCAAGGCTGGTATGAGCTTAATTGGCTTCAGAGTTGCTGATTTTCTGCACGTCCAGCTGGGTTTATTTATTCTCGGTCACTGCAAAGGATCGTTGGTATGCCGAGCCAATCTCTATCTTAGTTAATACAGTCAGTCCTCATACCGCTCTTCTTGGTGACCTGGATAATTGGGGAGCTCATGCAAATTGCGGTAGTATATTCACTGACAAATTCACTTGTGCAAGAGTGATGGACTGTTCAAAGCCTGCAGAGGCCACAAGAAGGGTGAGGCTTGAGATAAGGTTGGTAGGCTTTCCAATTAAGAGATCACTGGTAACTTTGGAAAGAGGAGTTTCAGGTGAATGACGGGTGAGAGGAGCAGCGAGTGTTGACAAGAGTTTGGCTGAGAACAGGAGAAGAGATCTCAGATGATCGTTTCAAGGATGGCAGGAACTAGAAATGAGCAAGAGGAAGTATATGCTCGAGCAGGGTGGGCTGTGGTCACCGTTGTGCTTTCCAAAGGGCAGCTTGGCAGCTTTGTGGCGCACGGACTGCGGAGTACAGTGGAGGCAGGAGAGTGATCATGAAGGTTTGCTCGCTGGGGCGGGGAGTCACATGTGGCCTCAAGCTTCACAGAACAAGATTCAGTCATAGGGCCACACTTGAGGACCTAGAGGGCCACATGTGGCCTCGAGGCTGCAGGTTCCCCAACCCTGCTCTACAGTCATGTCTATAGAAGTGGAAAGGGGTGAATATCAGATGTGAATGTAGGACGGAAAAGATTTGGAAACTCAATATTGAGGGTAAAGGGCAAGATTCAAGGACCCCAAGGCAAAAAATAGTCCCTGTCCTCAAGGAGCTTACAGTCTAACGGGGGGGGGGGAACAACACACACCCAGACAGGCTAACTAATTAGGCTAATAACCAATAAATCGATAATCGGTGATTTCAGTAACCAAAGATGCCAAGGGAACCTTCTGACAGGAAACTCATTCCCCTCAAAAGGGAAACTCGATCCTGATTGGCAGACATCTAATGAGGAGGTGGGCTAAACGTCTTCAGCTCCTCCTGATCATGAGACTCAGCAGCCTCCAGGCACATGGGCAGGGGAAGCCTGTCTGTCTAGACATCTCTAGCTAGTTTTCTCCTTCATCATCTGGATTACCCTAAACTCTAATGGAGGGGATCAAGGACAGAGGGTTCCTCCTCCAGGCGAAGGTTTGCCCAGACTGGATTCTGTTTCCATTCTAAACAGAAATTAGGTCTCCCAGTTTGGTGGCATCCAGCCCCATCTAGTTAATGAGCACGTGCCATGGGGGCTAGATGGAATGTCATCCCTCAGTCTTACCCTTCAGAGACTGACTGACCTTTCCAGGAGTTGGGTCTTAACAGAAATAGTAGGGAGAGGGTGGATCGCAAATTAATAATTAGTTATTAATAGAATACTATATCAATTTCTCTTTTTACTTAACTATTTGCCTTAGTTTCCTCATCTGTAAAATGAGCGAAGAAACCAGTATCTTTGCCAAGAAAACCCCAAAAGGGGTCACGAAGAGTAGGACATGCGAAATGACCGAACCACATGTGCCAGGTCCTGTGCTAAGCACGAGGGAAGACTACCCAGTGCTGTGGCATGGTGAAGAGGTGGGCAACTGGGCAGGAAATGAAGAAGTGACTGAAGGGGTGCTTTCCTCAAATGGAGGTTCTCCATTACCTCCAATCAGAGGGAGGGATAAGGCCCGAGTGGAGGTTGTAAGCCTGGGTGGGGAACTGGAATGATGGTGGTGCCCTCAGTGGAAATTGGGAGTTGGGAGACGGGAGTTCTCTTTTGGACGTGTAGGTGGAGACATCCAGCCTCACTGGAGCTCAGGAGATAGGTTGATTTGGGTGGCACCTGCTTACAGATGATGCTTGAACCCCGGGGAACTGCTGAGAAGTGAGAAGAGGACCCCGCACCGAACCCCAAAGGCACAATAAGGGGGTGGCATCAGGAAGGAAGGAAACAACTATTAAGGGCTTACTATGTGCCAGGCACTGTGCTGAATGTTCTACAATTATCATTTAATACCCACAACAACCCTCTGAGGCAGGTGCTATTATCACCTCCATTTTACAGTTGAGCAAACAGAGGCAGGCAGAAGTTAAGTGGCTTGCCCAAGGTTAAACTGCTAGTGTCTCAGGTAGCATTTGAATTCCAGTCTTCCTGACTTCAGGCACAGTGCCCTATTCATTGCAATCAAGAGATAACCTGTGTTCTTGAGTAGAGCAGTCTCAGTGGTGGAGAAGGATGCCAGACTAAGAACTGAAGAATTGAGAGAGCAGGAAGGGGAAAGAACGACATAAACCAGGGGCGGGGCCCTCTGGGCGCTCATGCGGGGCCTTTGGAATCCAAACTGCGCAGAGCACATCACCTTAATGGGACCTGGTCAAAGGGCTGCACCCAAGGACCCGGCAGGCCACAGGCTCCCCACCTGGTCCAAACCCTCTTCCACAGAGCTGCCAAAATGCTAGGGCGCAAGCGCTTGTCTGACCGCATTCCTTTGCTAAAGGAGCCACCAGTGGCTCCCTATTGTGCCTGGGATAAAAAGTGGATTCCTCTGCTCAGCTTTCAAGGCTCCGCACAACTTAAAGGCTGGGCCACCTCCTACACATCACTCCACATACGGTGGGGCCAAGCTCAATCAGCCTGCTCGCTGGTTCTCACACAACATTTCTTTCTATCTCCCACCTTCCAGGAAGGCTCTTTCTCAGAATCCCTTATTTCCTTTAAACCTCAGCCTAAGTACTTCCCAGGTGAGGCCATTTCTAATCCTTCCACTGGACACTGACTTCCTCCCCAATAAAGGGTAAAGCTTTGTGAAGTCTGGGGTGGCCTCGTTTTTGTCCACGTATCCTGGATGCTGAGGACACGTGATTAGTAAGTGCTTGCCGAGCGAATGTATGTAGAGAACTTCTTCAAGGAGTTTCTGAGTTTGGCAGAAGAGATACAGGACAACAGCTTGAGAGGATGATAAGGTCAAGTAATGAGAGAAATCCTGATGTGTCTGTAGGTAGCAGGGATAGGCCCAGTAAGCAGCAAGTTTAGAATCAGGAAGAGAAGGAGCACTTCATCATTGGAGGGCCATTAACAAGCCGACAGATGTTTAGTTAAGGGTGACCAGAAGATAAATGGAGCTGAAGAACCACGCCATTCCTTAATGACTTAACAAAACTGGAGATACTAAAGCAATGTCAATAATATAACTACTACGTGTGTGTGTGTGTGTGTTTATATATAGATAGATATAGATACATATAAATATATATATAGGGGGGGAGATTAATATTAGGAAAGTATAAGAATTGCCTAAAAAAAAAACCAAAACAGAATTTGTTTCATTAACTAGAATTGATAGTTGGAATCAATAAAAATGAAGATTTCGCCCTTTCCGGGAAGCATGACAGAAGGCAAAAGTCATAACAATAAATGTAAATGGTCTGAATTTCTGCATTAGATGAATGGAATTAAGCAAAACATATCATTATGTTGCTTACTGGAAATCCATTTAATGCGAAGGAAGAAACTCTACATGGGTACCAATGGATGTCAGTATTCCCTCAAAGGATACAGACCACAAGCCACACCCAGTCAATATTCTCCAGTAGTTTTCCCAAAGGGTGGGGAGGATGCAATGACCACAGCTCTGCTGGGCTTATATCTCTCCTGTCTGATATTGACGGTTACAGGGTCATTGATCATGGTCATCTCTACTGTTTCATCTTTTAAGAGAATTTATATGATTTTTGAGACATACCTCAAAGATACATTGGAGAAAAGTCTTTAAGGCAGTATTTTGCTCTCCTAACCCAAATGACTCTCTTTAGTCATCAAAAATAAGCATGGAGAACCTTGTATTTGCTAATCTTTTAGTCAGAGGTGTGATGGTAAAAATGTGGTCTATTGTGGAGTATGACTTATGATAGCTTACCTTCTCCCTTCTGATACTCAAACAAAGAATAGCCTTACTGAGTACATGAATTATTCTTATAAATTTTTTACATAATAGGAAAATAGGTATAATGGGACAGTAGTAATTGATGCTGTCTTGGTCACCATTTTTCAGGATTAAGCCCATGAGTTTTTTTGACTTTGATATTTCTGATGTAGAGGTCTGAGAATTCTGTGGAGTCTACACTCATTCTTAATCCCTGAACCATACTTCCCAACATTTTTCTTCATCCTTGCCTATCCCCACTTTTGTACTCAAGGCACTGGGTATCTAAAGAACACGCTGACTTAATTTGGAGGATCTTATTGAGGTCTTGTAGAATTTTTCTGCCTCTTCATCCTCTGCAATTAGGGACAGCTAGGTGGTGCAGTAGACACAGCACGGGCCCTAGAGTCAGGAGGACCCCAGTTCAAATCTGGTCTCAGACACTTGATACTTACTAGCTGTGTGACCCTGGGCAAGTTACTTAACCCCATTGCCTAGCCCCTTCCCCCCCCCAAAAAAATCCTCTGCAATTGATATTGGTACCTAAGTTGAAATTAATTTCATGATGGTCTTTTTTGAAAATACTTATCATTAGCACAGAAATAGGAAAAATCCAAATATCTCATGAAATGATATTCTTGGTGCCTTCAGATACATGGAAAAATCCAATTTTGCTAAATTCTACATTTCCCTCTCTAAAGAGAACCTGTGAGCCATCCTTCTCCTTGGCTGCACCTTCCTTTTATCTTTTGGTTTCATATCTGTAGCAAGAATGTCCAAACCAACACCACTAAATTCTTCCACTGGTGTGTCCACTTCTCGCTCACTAGAAAAAGATCTCACACGACAGCCAAATGAAAACTTAAAGACAGCCTCAAAACTCTGGTGCTCAGGACCCTCAATCCCCCTTTTCGACAGTCACCACTATCTCAGAATCCAAAGCCATACAGGCCTAGGGGCCAGTTTATATTCTGCTTTATTAGGTTCACATAGGCTGCCATGGCCAAAGAGATTATCACCAAGTGGCCAGCTTAATGGTGAAACGGCTCTAGATGCTTAGGCTGGTTATTGGC